CGGGACGACAATCCCGGCTCACAGACCGCTCGATTCATCGCGCGAACCGAGGTCGGATGTCGTTAAATACAGAACGTCGACATTTTTTTTTTGCCGTGAATATATCGCAATAGGGAATATATGGTGCATTTCACGTTATTGAGTTATGTACCTACGTTATTCGGTCATCTCGCGCGAGTATATATCGTCGCAAAATTTTATTTTGGTACGCGCGTTAAAGAATTGACTGCCGTTAAAACGTGATAACTTAATGCGTGTAATCATATCTTTCGTTATTACATAGTATATTATCTAATATTATCTCTGTTTTTTATTTTATAAATTAAACCTATTATTATAGAATGAAAATTATAATTATATCTTTCGTGATTTTTAATAATTGATTTATAATTCTTGATGTTCTTTAGAAGAATATTTGCATAATAATGTGTATGGGACTGATTTTATTAAATTTATATAATATAAAGAAAAAGTTAATATATAATATTGGTAAAGAATGTAATTTCACTAATATATATATATATATATATATAAATTATCATATTGGGACATAGATCACATTACACAAAATTCAATCTTGATTGTTTTTAAAGATTAGGTTCACATACTACAAGAAAGTCATCTTATTTTGTCTTTTTAATAAGTATTTTTATACTTAAATAAAAGATATGTATATATAAATATGCGATATAATTGAAAATAGTCTAAACTAATATCTCGTTTCATAGAAAAGCAATGTCTTTAACCAATGTTTCTATCTTATACATTCGCGTTATAGACGGAATCTCTTCAAATATAAAACGAGGTATATTTTCTGAGGCTGTTAAGTATTAAACTGGAAAGCTTGATATGCCCTCCGCTTCTACGAGAATTTATGTCCGTATTCATTATTACAACAGTAAAAAGATGTTCCTTTAAAAAGCTGCGCTCGTTTAAGAAAAAGCAGCAATAAAATTCTGCGGGTCTGCACGATTATTTTCTAAAAACTGCCGCGTAAACGAATTTCGCTTTAAAACCTATTGCGCTCAATGACAGCTATTAAGATTTGAAGTCTTTCGTAAAAAGGCAAGAAGAAGCTAAATCATTTTATGCAAGAAATATGTATCCAGATATTTTTATGTATAAAATATATGTCATATCTAATTGATCGCAATCGTAATTATATTTGAAACGTCTTTGATCGAAGCATACTTATCTAAAACAAATTACAATCATGTCAAATCAATATCGAATGAAAGTTATTATTAATCGTAACTTTTGAGATATTTGTATCAAGATTTAATTAACATTTTAAGATTTAACGTTAAATATTTAAATAATCGATTTTTTATTAAATTTCCATCGAAATAACTCTTGATATGAAAAAAAAAAAACGAAATGTTGTGACCTATTTCTATTCTAATTTATCTACAGAATTTTTCTTAAGAATCTTATTTATATTCTTATTAGTTTTTTCAAGATTTAAGTGTAATGATATATTCTCTTTTTTGAAAAGAATAGCGGTACAATTGCAGATTTTATAATTGGACAATGCAAGTAGAAGCGAAAAATATCCGTCATCTTATTAATGTTTCTCAAAACTGTAGAATATATTTCTCAGATTCCGCAATGAAATATTTCTTTTAAATAGAAATATCAGCTTTAACACACACATATTTCCACATGTTCAAAAAATAATTAAAATGTTGATTTCCAGATTTTGTCAAATCTGTCAAAACTCTATTTCTACTTCTATGAATTATAAAATAATTTTTGCCGATTTCACATTTTTATTTTTATCGATTACATTATAGTCATATGGAATGAGAAATTTAAATTTAACTATCGATTTTTGCTTCACGAGTAATGATCCTGTTCTATGCTAGAATTTATATTACATTTTCTAATCCATTTGTAATTCCCGTGATCACGTTTTTCATCGCAATGTTCTAATTTCTTTTTAATTATAAACATTAGAATCTATTTTCTTTAATCTACCTTATATATATTCCGCATATTTTTTTGTCTTATAAAACCAAGAACAAAGAAAAAAGACATACTAATAGCGAACGTTAGACTTTACGATGTACTTCCTCTCCTCCTTATTACGCAATTATGCAATGGAGAGAAAAGTAATGTTTTAAAATGAGTTTAATATACCGCGGCATTAGTATGAAGTATTTTTAATTCTCGAATCTTGAGAGAGAAAATATTTATATGTATAACATATTATCTCTCTAAGAATATTCAAAAAAATATTCAAAAATTCAAGCTTTAACACAACGCGAATGAAATGATCTTTTGTCGCATATTAATTGCGCGCATCGCGAATTACATGCTTTCCTCATTAATTTTCATCAACCATCTCCGATCTAAACGCCATTAATATCATTATCATGATTGCTATTAATGACGCGTTACAATTTTTCGTGATATCGTCAACTCTTGTTATCGTTAGAGCTATTTTAAAAATCTTCGTTGTATCCGCTACGATGCATACAGTGCCTTCACCGGTGCTATTATAATGTAGCTTAAACGATTGTCGTTAGATCCAGCGTGCGACACAACGTGGAATGTATTATATTTCCATGAGAAAAGCTCGTCTTCTGCGATATTATTCGTGAATGCGCCCGTGAAGATTTACCTTCGTTCCAACGAAAACGTTTATTCTGCATTACGTAAAAGTACCTTTGCGTTGTAATTTCTGTTATGTAACTTGCGCGTCTTGTAATATTTGTTCCGCCCGGTAAAACCCTCTCTTCGCACCGTCTACTCCTACTGTCGTTATATTCCACATCTCGGTATCGCAAATATCAAAATATTTGACACATTTAAAGTAAATAAAAAAATAAAATAAAAACAAAATGTATCTCCACAAAATTAAATTCGTATTCACATGATAATTTATATTACATTTGTCGGTATGTCATTCGATCGAATGCACTTTGGCCGTGTTTATTTTTCCTTCGACGTCGATAAACTGACGTTCTCCATATCGACTCGCGTAGCCGCTCGCGACAAAATGTAATTCCAATTCTCCTCAAAGCATTTCACGCCCAGTTTACTACGATCCGTCCGTAACGGGTTACGACCGCCAAGTATTGTCTCCGAATGAATTCAATCTGCCATCTTTTGTTTTCATTTTCCTTTGTCCTCTCTTTACGGCTACATTCATCGCGCGGGAGTGTAATTTTCCGCGTGAAAAGCGATCGCGAGATATAAGAACGATTAACCGCACCGATGAGGAAGTTTGTCCGTATTATCGAAGCTATTATCGGAGAATTTAACCAAGCTCCCTTAGTCCGAAACTTCTATATTTAAGAAACTTATAAACGATAAAGAGCGCAAACAAATCAGATTTTAAAACTGTTGATTTACATATATAAATCGATAAATCGATAAATCGATAAATCAATACATCAATAAATATATATAAATCAATACATATATATATATCATTTTTCTTCATTCAGTGAATAATCATTAATTTTA